ATGCTGGAACGACTGCATGAGAAGGTACATATTAGTCTCTTATGCTGCATTTATTTAATCAAAAATACAGTCAAAACAGTACAAAACAGGGTGATATTGTAATATATTATTACAATTGAAATAAACTTATTTCTTTATTCAATGCATTTTAAAATGTAATTTGTTCCTTTGATGCTGAATTTTCAGCATCATTACTCCAGTCTTCAGTGTCACAAGATCCATCAGAAATCATTCTAATATGCTGATTTGTTGCTCAAGAAACATTTCTTATTATCATAAATGTTGAAAACAGTTGTGCTGTTTAATATTTTATGTGAAAACAGTGATACATTTTTTTCAGGATACTTTGATGAATAGAAAGTTCAAAAGAACAGCATTTATTTTGAATTAAAAAAAAACACACAAATATTACAATTAAATGCATAATTTATCCCACACTATTTTTATGCTACCGACATGTACAATACCATCGATTTAAAAAAACTTCTTGAGAAACTGGCATGCTGTAACCGTGAAAAGTTATCTGCCATTGTGATTTTTACAAGATAAAACAAGCAAAAAAATAAAAAATCATGGCATAATTTTCTTCATCCAATCAATCAATCAATCAATAAAATAAATAAATAAAAATCTAATCTGATTTTCTGTCACAAGAGGGCGCTACAGTTCAATAAAAGCATTGCATTGTAAAGGACACTAGTGCTACCAAAAGCATTTTAAAACAGCATATCATCTTTAAATTATAAACTGTAATGTTTATGTTAATTTGGTGTATTATTTCTCTATTTGCTTTTAGGAGAAGCACGCTCAGGAGGTGCGCAGAAACAAAGAGCTGAGGGAAGAGTTGACAGCATGAGCACGTCTCTCTAGACCCACTGTCCCATCACCCCACAACACCCCCCTCCCCTTACCTGCGAGCTCCCGTCCTCAGAGAGACCCCCTCTCACCCTGACACCTCTGCACCATGTAGAAAAGAGCCTCTGGCACCCCTACCCTGACCCGCCCAGACGAAGGGAATCGACCCTGCCGCCCTTACCAACAGCATCCTCCCTGATATAGTCCTGAAGACAAAAGGAAAAAAACTCCAGAAAAAACTAATGTTTTTGATCAATTTGAAACCAGTCAAAGTGGGTGTGGTTTTTTGTAAATACTTCCAATTTGTTTTATATGAGATAATTAAAAGTATTGCGGTGTGCCATTTTATAAGTTTCTCTCTGAATCTTTCTCTTTTAGTGGATGTACTTGTTTCCTCTCTCTCGCTCTCTCTCTCTATCAGATCTGCTACAGTTTCTCTTGTGCGAGGCTTTAGTGTTTGTGAGTTTGCTGGCTAGCAATGTCTTCTCTAAACCCAACAATCATTTTAGTGTCTCTTATGTCCATGTGGAGAGAGTAAAAGCCGTCACAGTACAGTACACACAGCTTTAACCGGTCACTATCATTGCATTTACAACAATCTTTAGCTCTTTCTTCATACATTCATCTGGTATATAGTCACAACACACAGACACACACACTTATATGAACCCAGTCAGCATGATTTCAGTACAAAATGACACGTTGCTTAAGAGGAGCTGTGGTTTGAGCCACACCGAAGTCATGTGACGTCTCTCGACCCGTGTTTGACCATAGTCTGGGTTGCATTGTTGCTGACGCGTAGCATCAAGTTAACCTTAAATTCCTGAGAATCGCTTTAAGTTCTCGATTCTGATTCTTCAAAGATTTAGGGGATTTCAGGTGATAAAAATGGATGCCGTGTGTAAATGTGTGTGTGTCAAGAGCAGTGTGGGTGGACGGTGTTACCATGTGCCATGTGCAAAGTGGCTTTAATGTCACAAACCTGCCCACCCTAATCTTTCTCTTCCAGCTGTGTGTTTTATTCCCTTCACACATGTAACTTTGAGAGCATAAGCTGTGGTAAATAAAGGCTTGGGGTTCTTGAAATGAGAGTATCTGTCTTTGGCTCCATTTTTATTTCATACAACATACATTAACATAAACACATAATTCCACTTCAAGTTTAACAGCTATGCTGTAGGCCAGTGGTTTTCAAACCTCTCCATGAAGTACCCCCAGTACTGCACATTTTGCATGTCTCCCTATATCTGACACACCCACTTCGGGTCTTGCAGTCTCCACTAATGAGCTGATGAGTTGAATCAGGTGTGATAGATGAGGGAGACATACAAAATGTGCAGGGCTGGGGGTACTTCATGGAGAGGTTTGAGAACCACTGATGTAGGCCACAAAAAGCGAATAAACATAACCATGTGTGAAACTACTTGGTGTAATACCCTAGTTTACCAACAGATGGCAACACATGACTTTGCAAGAAAACATGAATTAGTACTAAGTTAGTATTCGATTTCAAACATGGCCTTAGTTATTGATAGATAGTACAGTAGTTTAGTAGTAGTTGTGCAGAATTACTGCATATGCACAGCATATATAGCCTTTTATGTTATTTTAGTTTTTTTAAATATATGAAACGGATATGAAAATATATGCATATACATACATTGTCTTTGCTTGACCTAATTATGTGACAATACCTGTGTTTAATTCAGTGAGTCTTGGACATACTTAATTTTGCAATCAGTTTTGTGTAAAAGCTTCAAACAAATAACGAGTCATGAGAAAATTTGTGAATTATTTCTGGACCATTCATGTTGAATTTTGGGATATAGTAGTACCTAGCACTGTATGCTGTGTTGCATACTGCACATTTTGACAAATGTAGTAGGTCATCCACTATTTTATGCATGCAGACAATTTGCATACTGCATAAATAGTATAGGTAGTATGCTATTCCAGACCTGGCCATTACTGCTACATTATCTCCTTAATATTTCAGGTTAAGGAAATCCAACCATCACCTCTGGGGGGGGAATGAGTGGAAAAACTTGCGATAAAAGCCTCTAAAATAGATTCAACAGTAGCTAGAGAAATAAAGAGTTGTGTTGGCAGAGTGCTGTGTGTAGGTGGGAATCTGTTTTACGGCTTTGGCTGGCAGTCACAGTACCCGTGGTGGCGTGGGAGTGCACCACACCAGGAGCTCAGTGAGATGCTGTGATTGCTTTGGGACAAAGCTGCACTGTGCGGCCCTCTCCTCCCACTTTTCCATCTCTCTCGTTCCTTCTCTTCTCTCTCTATACCTCTCTCTTTCCTCCCTGCAGTCCAGGCCAGCCAGGCTGCCATTGTCCAGGATATCCCTTGGCTGTTAATGGCTTCCTGGATACATAGAGAGGCCACAGGGAGGGCCCTGGGCCATGTTTGATATCAGTTTAAAACACATGCATACAGGCACTGGTTCAAGCCCTATAGAAATGTGCAGTGCCTCATTTCGCTGGCATGAAATGAACTATTCATCCCCAAAGCATTAAATCACATGTAAGGCTTATTTGTGTATATCCACCTGTGAAGAGCGAGGGTGACTGGAACATTTCAAACACACCAACAATTCTGGACAATAAAATCATGAATGTAGTTGTCTTTGACTGTTTACATATAAAGTTCTCAGGCTGTGAGGTTTGCCCTAGCAACATTTTAATTTACATGTCTGTCATTTTGTAACAAAAAATGTGTAATCATTTTGATTGGGATATACACAAACCAGCTTTAAATTTCTGGCTTATGCCAATAAGACGATAATAATTGTTATGCAATGGCCAATAATTAAAAATGGCCAATCGTTAAAATTATATTATAATTAATTAAATATATTATATATTATATAAATATATTATATATAAATATATTATAATTAATTGTGAAATTAAATATTTTTTACATAAATTAATTTCAAATTAATAAAACATTAAACACAATAAACTAAAACCAATCATTTAAAATTAATTGAATTTATGCATCACAACATTATAATGTACAGTATAAAAAAAATTGATATTAATTTTGAGACTTATCAAAAATGCATCTATTTTTAATTTCTGGGTGATGCAAATAAGCTGATAATTATTTTTATGTAATGGCCAATAATAATAAAAAAAACTGAATAATATTAAAATTACTCTATAATTATATTCATTATAAAATTAAATACATTTTTTACCTAAATAAATGTCAAATAAGTAAAAAATAAAACACAAAAACACCAATAATTTTAGATACTGCATTTGATTTTATGCATCACGACAGTAAAATGTACAGTATGAAAAATAGATATTCATTTTGAGATTTGTCAAAAATGCAGCAATTTTAAATAAAAACATTTTAAATGCATTTTAAATGCTGCATTTATGAATATTAAATGCTGGACTACATCTATGCATTAAAAATTTTAATGAACAGTATGAACATTTGTTTTTCTTTTCATTAGTTGTTTAAAAATTACATTTAACATTTTTATTACTTGTAAAAGATCTCTATTATTGACTGATAAGTGTTATGGTACCACTATATTCGCATTTGCTTAAATGTATCAATGACAATGTCAAAAAATAAAAACAGGACATGAACACACAAGTCTAGGGTTATTAGCTACACTTATCATTTTATTACAGGAAAATCACACAGGTTAGTGAGGGACAGGCACAGTACCACACCATCTCTTCCAGTACTATCTATTCCCCTAGTCTCATCTGATTTGCCAGTGCAAATTCCCAATTACCACAAAACGATCTGGTTTTCCAAAACACTCCTCAAGTACAGTTAACTAAAAGAGAGAGAGAGATGATTTGTTGCATGAAGGGGGAACATATGCATGTGAGCAAACAACTCTACTACGAACAAACCCAAGAGTGCCTTTGCTACAATTCAATTAGTGCAGTTTTGAGAGATTGTCTATCTAGATTGTCTCTGTAAAGGTTTAACAGTGGTCTGTCCCTGCAAACAACAAATTCATTACATTTTAAACAAATAAACACACACCACAGGTCACTGACCAAAATGACTTAAAATCTTTATAAAAATAAAGTACTCATCATGTTCAGCTGACTAATACAGATTCAGTTGCATAGGTTTCATATACATTTGCAGAGGCAGGTCACTGACCAAAATGACTTAAAATCTTTATAAAAATAAAGTACTCATGTTCAGCTGACTAATACAGATTCAGTTGCATAGGTTTCATATACATTTGCAGAGGGAAAACTGCAAAAATCAATGTCAACTTCATTGCATAGTATTTCAATTTCATGGAAACGCTGAACAGATTTCCTCAAAAAATAAGTCTGATTTCATTCTCTTACAAATCCTGCCTTTTATTCTGAAGGAGATGATTTAGGATGCAAATATATGTTTCATGTGATCAAAGCACTCCTTTACCATCTTTAACATAATTAAAGGGATAGTTCATCTAAAAATAAAAATAAAAATCTGTCATCATTTGCTTTACCTGAAGGAGTGAACTGTCCCTTTAAATGGACATCTGGTTTCAGTTTAACTCCATTAACACCCATTCAGTGATGCATCTCATCTGCTTTTGCTCCAAATTACCTCTTTCTCTCTTTATTAGCATACCTTGCTCCACTGAGGGAAAAAAGAACTAGACTTTGATTTGCTCAAAAATGATGTGCGAGAACCCGACCATCTCCAGAACTCATCTCTCCTCAAACCGAGACAGGACAGTTTTAAAAGACAGGGTAATTGGAATAAGTACACCGGATCTGTATTCGCTTTTTCCCTTTGTACAAGTCTTCTGTCCATCTCTTCAAGTCAGATGTTACAGAAAATAAGTCATTTCTAACTGACTGTCTGTTCACAGCGTTCATGTTTTTGTGTTCAGAAGGCCCCTATTTCCATGCTCCAAGGCCTGTAGGGCTTCCCCAGGCTGCTGGAGGGAGCTGCGTGGCCCAGCGAGCTCGGGGACAGCAGGGGAAATGCGCTCAGCGGGATGGGAAACGCTGACAGGCTTGAAAGTGACGTCAGGAGGGGTGGCGAAAGCTTGGATGTGGTAGGTGGTGTGAGCCCAGGGTGCAGGGAGGTACTGGGCGGCACCCGCAGCGGTCCTGTCTGCCCTGCCTCAGTAATCACCGTGCCAGTCAGCCTGCTGGGGGTGTGCGGCTCTGTGGAGGAGGCGGATGGAGATGAGGAGGAGGGCGATGAAGAACTGGAGGATGGAGGGCTGCTGGTGCTGCGTGGCTGCTGCAGGAGGAGATGGTGAGCCAGGTGTCCGGGCGGCGTCCCAAACACAGAGCCCCACGCCAAGTGGCCCAAACTCGAATGAGCTTCTCTCTGGGAGGCGTAGCTGTTCAGGTGCGAAACCAGGCGGATGCGGAGGGGGTCGGTGTTGTCCAGGCCCTCGATGATACTGAGGTAACGTGCCGTCTCTGCCAGACACTCGCGGAAACCCAACCCACGGTAATCCATGGCCAGCGCATGAGCATCAAAGTAACCTGTGTGAGAGAGAACGAGAGCTGTTGACCGACTTGATCTGAAAATGATTACAGCTTATGACAGGAAACACTGCAGTTCTCACTGGGAGTGGCTGAGAGTGAAACTGAAATGATGCTAGATAAACAACTGAGATTAAAAGACACTTTACACATCTAGTTCGTCCTGTTTCGGTCGTGCAGGGGTTAGTAATTATTTTCACTGCGTGAATTTCCTTGAGCAGATTCCAAAACATTGGATGATCTCATAATGCAAGGTTGCAACCTAGGTTAAACCTAGCAAGATTTTAAATCGGATGTTTTGGTGAGACTTTATAATAACTTTTATTGTTCATAAGTCATTAGGAAATATTATAATGCATAATAGACCATCAGTTAATGTACGTTAAAGTAGTGAAATTTTTTTTGTTTATTAATCAAATTTATACTCTTTGTTTTCTTTCAAATAAGTGCTAGTTATAAAAATCGTACCTTTTCCTCCAGCTGCATGAAGCATCTTTAAATGGTCTACGGTCATCTGTAAAATTTCTGCTTTTTCTAGTTTAGCAGAGCCCTGAGAACAAGAACACACGTGTTGAGTTATGAGGTAAGACTAGATATGTATGCTGTGTGGCTCTATGATGAATAAGAATACTTGTGATGATAAAGAGTTTTTTTATTTTATTCATTTTTAATCCATTTTAAAACCCACATGCCAAGTTCTTGTTTCACACATTTTTGAAAAACGTTCATACCAAACATTTTATAAACTCAAATTGTCAAGTGGTCCCAATCAATTATACAGTACTCAAATGTTTTCTTTGCACCTTGAATATACATGTACAAAATTGATATCATTCAATTTTGAGGAGTTTCTTGTCACATGACAACAAAATGGTTTCCTGCATGTAGGTTATGCCACATTGAGTTTTTATTAATAATAATTATAATTATAATAATAATAATAATTTTAAACAAAATTGCTTCTACATTTTTTTAATGAAATAATACAGGATTGAGGCAAACTAATGCCAGCATTTCCTTTTCCAAGAAGTTCAGCCAGTAATGAGACTTTACAAGAAAGAAATAAAGAAACACACTCTAGACATTTGATTGTGAGATGTGAGTCAGGTGCAGTGACTGACACTCACCTGCTTTTCAAACGCGCTGGGCACCAGCCTGCGCAGCTCAGACAGACTGTTGTTTATCCGGTCCCTGCGGCGCTTCTCAATGATCTGTCCGAGCAGATTGTGAAATCATTATTAACAGTCATTTAAGAACAGTAAAGCCATTTGTTCAGCATTACAGATGCATTTTTCCAGAGTTTTTCACAGATGAAAAATGCTCTTACCCCTCTGCGACGTTTTCTCGCTTGCACTTGAGAGGTTGTGGCTGGAGACACTGATCCGAGGGGAGAATTCACGCTGCTTTAAAAACAAAAGATGCATAACACAGTAAATATGATATTCTTTATCAAATATGATATTGCCCGATATTCTTTATCAAATATGATATTGACCGACATCTAATTTCCCAAGTAATATTCCACACAATTATGTTGTCAGACATGACAGATTTGAAATTATAATCTTAATTTTGTGTGCGATACAAACTAAATGGGCGCACACTTCATTTTATGGCTCTTTTCTTCTCCAGTTTGTTGCAAGTTCAACGTTTCATTAAAATAAGCTAAACAAATGACCGCTAACTTACGCATTTTCGTCCGCACTCTCCTTCTCCACTTCGATATTCTCATCGAGCTCGCTGTCTGAGGAGCTAAAGTCGTGATTTCTCTTCATTTTTTCGATAATCTTACAGAGCGTATCCGCAGCGTGTGTCAGGTGAGACAGAAGTTCATCCGTATGAACCGACAAGCTTTCCCACGGTATCATTTCAACGCCGCAGCTCGCCAAGAGAGGCGTGGCTAAGAACGTGGACAGCCAATCAACGAACAAGTCTGAGATTGAGTGGCATGTCGGTTGTCAACGTCCCCGTTTAGCCCCGCCCCTCTTTTTGAATATGCTTAACAAAGGGCCAATAGGATGTTCGTCCGTGAGTGCGGAGCTCCGCCCCCGGGTTCCGCCGGCGCTTGTGTTGTCTAGCCTAGCTAAAGGAGTGGCTGGCCGGCTGTCAGCACGCGCTAGCCGTGGGAAAGTTTCTTAGCAGAACGCTGATAACCAATCAGGGGCGACGGTCGTCTCCGGCGCTGGAATGAATGGGGCAATTGGTTGGGGCGACGGGCGGTCTGCGAGTGAGCGTGTGAACCTGTAATCTAATACTAACTCATCCGAAGTAGTGCAGTGTGTACAAGGAAGCCACCAAGTCTAAATGTGCTCCATGAAACTCAAACATGTACCTTCTTTGACGGCATTCCCAAAGGTGCACTGCAATTAAAAACCAACCAGTCACTTTAAATGCACCAATAAGGACACAGCAGGGTTTTCCACTTGCAATAAGCACGTAAAAATACATTTGATATTACTGCATTCTTTTAATTTAATAATTACATATACTTATAATAAAGCCTATATATAAATGTAAAAATACAAATAAACAATATAAATTCATACAAACACAAGAATTCAAAATGTTAATATTCTTTATTCCATCTAAAACTATTAAAACAGAATTAAAAAAAAGTTATATATATATACACATACATACACACATACACACACACACACATATATACTGTATATATATACATGTCACACATTTGTATAAAACTACTATACAAATTTATATAAACAATCTAAATTCATAAAAAATACACATATTGATAAAACTTAAAATGTAAATAAGCTATATTAGCCTACATCTAAAACATTTCTTTCCAATTCTTGTATAAATAGTATTTATAGACCTCATTTTCTATTTTAACTAACATACATGTTTACCCAAAATATTGATAAAAATGTATAAATATTAATTGTATAAAAATATAAAATATAAAAATATATAACCACATAATACATAACCTCTGAATTTGAATTATATATCTGGGTCTATGTTCTAACTAATTTCAAATTCAGTTCAAGTCTTGTGTATTTCTGCAACTAACAACAATGTATTTAGCATTAATATTATTCTGTCATTCAAGAACTAGTGAGTGCACACCTGTGAACTAAATTACAAGTTATTAAATAACATTTTTCACACATTTAAGCAAACATGAAAACCATCATATATTGACTCCTTTTGACAGAGGCTACAAGAGCTTCAGGAAGAGCTACTGATCAATAGAAGAGAGCTAGCAGACGTTGATGTGTGCTGCTGGCCGATACGCCGCAGCTGGATCCTTATCAGTCAGTGCACAACACGCTGAATTGTCACCGGTTCTGCATACATGAATCAGAGGAAGCTCTTTGGCTGATTTCATGTTGTTATTGCTACCAACTTCAGCTCGACGGCATGGATGAACTTCCTTGTGTTTGCCTCCGACAGGGGTGGCAGCAGTGTGGATGACGGGCCGTTGTGTTTGTAGGCGTATGTGTGTTTTTCTATGTGCTTGGGGATGGGGGTGGCTCTTTTGATCGCTGTAACTCAAGTTCACAGAGGTTTCCCACGCTGTTATTTTCTACTGACGTTCGTCTTTGTTCTTGTGTCTCATCACATGTTGTGATTAGTGCTCCCTTTTGAAGGTGTGGGCCCACAACACAACAGTATATCCCCCCACAAAGCATGCCAGAGCCTCTTCTCATTCCAAGCTTGAGGTTTTTGCTCCTCCGAGTGGGTCTCCATGTCGCCATGTTTTCATTTCAGACTCTTTATGTCTATGCCAAGAAGCCTAGTCTACCCACAAGGAGGGCAGACGATGGTTTAAAAAGGACACGCTGCTTTTTAGGAGTTATGTCTTGGTCTATTTGGATCTCATTTATCAGCATCAGTGTTTCTATTGCATCACGAGGAGCAAAACAGCTTGTTTTAAAATGCACTGTTTGAGAAAAGATGGCAACAGGTTTCTGATTGCATCCCTGCAGACTGTCTGGCCACCGCTGCCTCACGCTGCGCCATGGCGTCGTGTGCTTTGCGCAGACAGATGTTCAGGTTCCTGAAACAATGTGTTAAACAATCCTATCCTCCTCAGGAGGAGCTGCAGGGGAACATGTCATTGTTTATAAATAGCTATGGATTGAATCCACACAGAAGAGGAAGAGTGGCTTTGTTTCTCTCACTGAGAGAGGAAGTGGAGCTTAATTCTCTGAGATACATGTGACACCTTGCATTGTGCCATTCGGGCATGTTTGTAGGAGTGTATGTACACACATAGAGACAATTATACTCTCATCTGAGTGGCAAAGATGCTTTAAAAGTCACCCAACTTTAGTCCACAAGCACTGCGAGAGCTTTCCGCTTTCATTTTCAGAAAAATGACACATCAATGTGTTGCTTTCTGTGTGTTTTTACGGAGAAGGAAGTGTTGTAATGATGATCTGTCAGATGTCGCCTCCCATATTTTTGTCCTTTTCTCCAATGGCCTTGCATTATCTCAGCTACACCCTGTGACAGTCGACGTCTGTGTATTCAAAGCTTTATGCGGTTTCTCTCTTATTGTCTTCCCTAAGAATTGGAACAAGGATGCTTTGACGCTATTGTCAGCTTAAGGCTGGAATACATGACTTTTGCTCAGATTTACAGTCTTGTGGAGTCAAAAGTAGTTGACGAAAGTCGGAGTCGACAGATTTCACAGAACATCTTGTAGTGTATGATGGAACCAGCTTCAGACTGAATCCGTACAGTCGGAGGATGTCAGACATGTTTGGTATTTTGGGCAATTTACTTATTAATATAACAAACACTTATTGTTATTTGTCATGCATCTCCTTGCAACAAGGCACATGCTTCTGCATGTGTTTGTTGTATTTGAAACAACTTGAAAGTCTGTCGTTTTTTAATGATGTCCAGTTTTTCGGCAAGTGTATGATTTCTAGTCTTTTAACAAATCTGTTCAGATTTCAAAAGTCTTGTAGTGTTTTCCAGCCTTTAGCTATTTTTCTAGGCAGAGATTTTGAGTTTTTAACAGCTGTTAAATCCTGATGGGCTGGTTATTTTAAAACTACGTCATTTTTAGGTGTGCAATGAAAGACTTTTGATGGATTCTTTGGTCGTTAATATGAGGTTGATATTGGCTCACACACATAAGGCGCAGTTGCTCGTAATTAGGTGTTTTAAGTCGAAGAGTGACTCGAGGTGGGTGGTCATCAACATGAACACATCAGCCGCGGGACTGTGGGTCTCTGAACTCTCCTGCTTTCATCTTCTCCTGTCTGCATAGTTAGTGGTGTGTGTGGGGTGAGTGTGTGTCTGTAAGTAAGAAATAGCTAAGCTTTGACAGATTGCAAAATGCACCAAAGAAAGTTTAAAATACCGTTCAAAGATTTGGGGTCAGTAAGTTTTTTAATACCTTTATTCAGCAAAGATGCATTAAATGGATCAAAAGTGACAGTAAAGACATTTATAACATTACAAAGATTTGTATTTCAAATAAATGCTGTTCTTCTGAGAAAATAATACTAGTAATTAGAAAAGATTATCTTAGAGATTCTGAAGTGATCTCAACAATATCTCAAACTGTGCTCAAGAAACAAAAGTCAATATGACTTCAAGATTTCAATTTGAACTCCACATTTTCTCCTCATTTTCCAACACCACACAATATGCTGTGTGTTGTTCATATTAATTTTATAACTCTACACTCCTACTGTTTGTGGATTTTTAGGAGAAACACCTGAGACAAAGTTCATGCTTAAACTATGTGGATACATGATACAGAAAATCTTGGGAAACACTAGTTTAGATGTCAGGTCCCAACAGACATATTCAAACATATGTATCCGGGCTGGCAGACACACACACACACACACACACACACACACACACACACACAGCCACAGTAGGCTCAAAATTTCCTGTAATATTGAGTGTGCAAGATGAAACATTGAAACACAACCCTTGTTATGACTGAAAGTGGAGTTGTGGGAACTCTGTAAATGTGCTATTTTTACATCACATCGAGTTTTCACATGACTCCGGGTGCAGATATATGTCACAGGCTGAAATGTTTGACTTTAATGGGTTCGTTCATCCAAAAATGATAATTTTGTCATTATGTATTCACCCTCATGGTGCACTAAACCTGTTTGACTTTCTTTTGTTCTTTGGAAAAGGAGAAGACGTTCTTCAGGAGAATGTTCACGCTACCGTTCCATACATTCAATGAATATTAAGCTCCGAACACTGCAAAAAAGCACCATAAAAGTATACCGAAGACCTTATGACTCATTCAAGTGTTGTGAAGCCATATGATAACGGTGTTCGAGAAACAGACCAAAATTCATTGTAAATTGTGCGTGAAGCGCAAAGTGTGACGTCAGTGATGGCAAGTGCCTTTGGTTATTGGGTGTCTCATAATCAATTGTGGCACACCTAGTTTGTGGACAAATGAATCAGGGTTCTGCACTATTGAGAACTGAGAATGTCTTTCATTAAAGAAGCAATTAAAATTAATTAAAATAAAAGTTAAATTAACACTAAAAATATTTTAAATGTGCACTGAAATTGTTCAGTACACTGATTATGTACTGACTTCAGATGTTCTTCAAAAATAGAAAAGTACTGAATTTTGGCTTAACAAAGCCTTGTTTTACAGTTTCAAAGTTTAAGTTTAAAAAAGGTTCAAAAAGACTTTAAGTTTGAATGTTTATAAACCTTACAGATAGACAGAGAGACAGAGAGACAGACAGACAATAGATGTGTACACACACACACACACACACACACCCATGCAGTATAGTCTGGCCCCTCCCCCTCTGACCCCCTCTAGTCTGGTATCTGTTAGACAGCTTGTGTGGCTCAGGATGAGATTGGCAGTAGA